CCTGTTATTTAAAGTGCATTGATGGATAACTAACGGTGATCCCAATCCTCATAACTTTTTGACGTGACTGAATTCACAAAATCTGGTCTGAACNGTGACTGAATTCACAAAATCTGGTCTGAACTGATGGAGACACTTCACGGTGCACAAAGAGTTAAGTGCCCTTTTTGAGAGTGATTGCATGTGATTCATTTCAAGTGGTTAATGTATGGTAACGTATGGATCGGGGCTGAACGAAAGCATGGAAAACATATCGATTTTTATTTGTTCGCGGACGGAACTCCAGAGTTCGTTATTCACTTTGTGAAGTGTAACCATTAAAGCAATTCCCAAAAGTATACAATTATTAGAAACCATCACTTTATACCGTATTTCAGTTGGATGAGTTCCATTGTTTCTCCGGATTCATGAAACACGTTCACATTATTCTGAATGAAAAGGCTTTAATTCCAAAAATAACGGTAGCTGGTAATCAGCAGAAAGTTACCACAATAAAGGCAACTGGTGGGTCATGGTTGAAGCGTTAAATTTCAACCATTACAAGCGATAATGTCGACATCTCGTCTGGCAATGCATACGATAATCTATGCAAAGTAGATTTCGGAGCTACAAGTGGAGATAGTGTTGACCTTCTTGAATTTTTGTCAAAAATGATCAAAAGAATAAAATTGACAAGTGACTGCTTTGTCTGTAGATGTGATCTAAATAGGTGAGTATATCCGCAACCTGTCCTATGGTGCTTGGAGTGTGTAAGTTCAAGGTATGTAGTTCAATGTATCAAATGATCCTGGTATTGCTAGTTTGCACTCTGACTACTTAGAGCAATTTCAGTAGCCTCAGTAGACAATAAGATTTTCTTACCACTTCCACTCGAATTCAAGGGCAGTCCATGAATGACTGTTTTTGAGCGGGTCTGACTCCCTCTGTGGGGACTCACTAGCCGAATATGATTCCCTCCGACAAAAATTGTTCGCATTGTAAATGAGTTCCAAACAAAATGCAATAACGGTCCAGTACGCATTGCGCGCCTTCTAAAGAGATCGCAAATAAAATATATCGAGCGTGTGGGGCATCAGCTGAATCCCAATGTAATCTTGCAGACCCATGCGTCCGAGGGCTCCCATGGGATTACCAAGGTCATATAGGACGAGTTCGAGTTATATTAAAAAATAGACGTGTTTTTGGAGGACGCAGAAGAACAGAACTACTGTCATAGAAAAATACATAGGAACTATTTTTATGATATCTTTGACAATAAACGTAATTTAGGCTGCTGTTTTGCAAACGAAAAATTTCAATGCGACGAATTCTACATATGTATGGTTCCACTCCCATTCTGTCATTTAGTAACTAGTCGGAATGCTCAAAGAAAACAGATGAAATATATCACCAAATAGCATAAGAAAATCCTTTGAAGTAGCACAAGCAGCTGTGATGCGATTTTGAGAAATGGAAAGAAACTATGGTTGGATGTAGGTAGTTTCACTAATACTAAACGTCGCCCCACGGAAACACCAGATATTTGTGATTAGGTAACCCACGACGCCATTAATTTAACTACTTCATTTAAAGTCGTTAAAGGACTGTTAGCAGTTTGCAACTTTCCTAAATAGTTTCAGTCCGATCTTGTGGACAAAAGGTAGCATAGCAAATTGGAAGCAACATGGTCCATAACATTTAGATGCATTCACAGATGAAATTGAGAAAATGATCCACCGCGTTACACTCGAATCTGCACTATACAAATAAAGGAAAGTTCAAGAATCTGCTTCCGTTCCTGATAGTTGTTCTCTGATTGAACTAAGATAGTGGAATCAACAAAAGTTCTATCATATGCATATCTGAAATAATCATTTCCATAACAAGAATGTTGCCGACGAAAAAAAAATAAAAAAATATGGTGCATTGTTTTGTTCAACGGGTAAGTCAAATCTGTTCAGTTTATAATCTTCCCGACGAATTTTACCAGAGAGACAATAGAGCAATAGAAACTGACCATCCAAACACCCTCGTCAAAAAAGAAGTAACGTCAGCTTTGCGATCCCATGTTTTCCGTTCACGAAACATTTTCATGTAAAATAATTACTGTGAATCGCAATACGTAGGCAATTTTATTGCAATGAAACAAGGTTGTTGTAAGAGCTTTGTGTTGAACTTAACACTAAGTCTAACGGAAATAACTCAAAAACGAACCGCCTAATTCATTCATCTCTTTTGGTGTGTATTCAAACTTATGCTCCGGCGAAGTAGAATACAACCTGACAGCTTTGGAAGACGATTCATAAATGATGATCAGCTACCAAAACATGGTGACGATCAATTTGCTGGAACTGATGTGTTCCGGGCTCAAGGTTCGAACTCCGCCTCTGCCAGTCAACTTTGGTGCTAGGCAAGATCGCTTCAACCCGGCTGAATACCACTATCACTATCATTTTGAAGCCTTTTGTGATTTGCAACCAGAGCATAGGTCACTGATTAGAACTACCGAACAAAAGATCATTCTAACCAGAGAATTGCTCGCATCTGTTATTCTTCACAACAAGCTATATAGTAACAGATAGAAGAATGAGAATAGTATCATTCTGAACCATACAAGCGACGCGAGTCAAGAGCTGACTCGAACCGGAAAAGTCGAGCCCATAGACTCAACTTCGCCCTACGGAGCAGCTTATGCTCGAACTCTAAGAACGGGACACAGAACCTGGTCCAAAGCCAAAGCGATTGTGATTGAGGCTGATCCAATCGATGCCGCTTTTTGTGGAAATAGTTTGCTGAGGCCATACCATTCAGTGCACTGACAAGTATTCAGTTTCTCCTAAGGACAGTTACAACAAAATGACCTAGCTGTCACTTGTTCATCGGGATACAGCATGTAACATCCGTCATCCTGTAAACTGTGCGAACACCCACGCTACATCTTTTCAGGTTTTCAGGCGCATAATTTATTGGTTTGATGGGTAGAACAAAAAATCCTTTGCTTGGTACCTTCATACGTCTTTCACCAATCTACTGAGTTGTATTTTTCTGATTCAGCTCAGTCCGATAATGTAGCTTTGATTTATTATTTGGAACATTAGATTATTCAATATTGCCGATCACGATTATGGCGGTGGCGGTTAAGTGGTTGAAGTCACCAAATTATCGGCCCCGAGAACGGGTGTTTGAATCCCACCGATGATGACTGATTTTTCCCATTCTTTGTGAGTTGTATGACAGCCTTTTAAATAGCCTTTTCCTCCTGCCCGGAAATTGTGCCAATATGTATTCGATCAAAGAAATTTAAATAAATGATAAGAAAGATAAGATAAGAATTGAAACTATTTACTCCAACATAATAAACAATACCCGTAGAAATTAGTATCGTTCTGGTAACAAAATGTGTTGTGTATGAAAGTGTGATACTTTACTATCGCGCAAAATACATGCACAATAACCCATGTAGTTACAAGGCATTTCATGAATTACGATTCGTCTGTCTGGCAATGCGAGTATCAGGAGTATGTCAGTAACAGCAGTCTGCCAGTATCACGTGCAGCCAGGTATACACTCCCAGATCAAGAACAGGAAGATGAATCAGAAACGGGAAACTGTCGTGTCTCGCTAAACCATCACCGAACTTGCCCTCATGATGCATATCCCAAAGATCCCAGTTGAAAGACAGTTGCAAGCAGTGAAAGCATTTATTAGTTGTGCCATCCAAACGTGGATCTGGAAAGGGATAAACGGGTGGTATATACGGGGTCAGTCAGCGTCTAGTCTTTTGTCCAGAAACAAGGT